TCTTAATACAGCTACTGGTTGACATTACCACATAAAAAATATGTAAACATTATAAAAAAAATTATATTATTGTGAGGGTTTAATTTAATGAAAAGCGTACTTTATTCAGAAACTTTGTCTTTATCTTACTCGAGAACATGTGAAGGTGACATGAAATTATTGTAACGCATTGCAGCATCTGCGGCTTCCGAGAAAATGTCGGAGTTTAATCACTCGTTAGACTTTTCAATCGTTTCACTCTAACGTACCAATTGCTCTTCAAGCGGTTAAGTTTACTTATTAACACGACGGTTGTGGAAGTGACCCTACATCACTAAACAGTAATAATAGTAGCTCTTTGTAAATGAAGCAACTAATAAATTGTCTTTCTTTATTTCTAGTATTGATTAGTCGTGAGTTTGAATACACGGGTAAGTCTGCAGTAGACACATCGGAGGGATTATTGAGAGGAAGACCTCATGGGGGGGTGGCTATTCTCTGGAGGAAGGGTATTTTTGAGTCAGTTTCTGTTATAAACTGTACTAGCTCTCGATTGGTGGCCATTACAGCCACGACTGGGGGTCACAATATTATTGTCTTTTCTGTTTATATGCCTACGGACTGTGCGGACAATCTACCAATTTTTACAGGTATATTGAGTGAGATCAATGCTATCATAGCGAGTAGGGATATAGAAAATGTTTTTATGCTTGGGGATTTTAATGCGCACCCTCATGAACTATTTTTTAATGAACTGAATAACTTTTGTTCTGAACAGTCGTGGGTTTGTGCGGATATAGAAGCATTGGGAGTGGACGGTGATACCTACACCTTCATAAGTGACGCTCATGGAAGTAGGAGGTGGCTGGATCACTGTTTAGTATCCAAATCAGCCTGGAATGCAATTAAGAGTGTAGGTGTCTCCGAAGATGTTTACATTTCTGATCACTTACCAATATATTTAGAATGTAACTTAGAGGTGGTCAGGCCTAAACGGACACTTAGAGGTCATGATAAAAACCTAGTCTTATGGGGTGAAAGAACAAATGTAGAGACGCAATGTTACCAAAACCTTTGTAATAGCAAATTGCGGGACATTGACTTTCCTCATGAGTTTATAAACTGTGCGAATGGCTTCTGTGGCTTGGCCGAACATAGGGTTGCATTAGATAATTTGTATGAACAGATTGTTAGTATATTATCTGAGGCGGCTAAGGAATCCAGAGTGACTTATAAGGGGGGACCAAGGCGGGGTAAGCGAGTATGTGGTTGGAACAGCTATGTAAAAGACGCTCACTATGAGGCCAGATGTAGTTTTAAGACCTGGGTACTCAGTGGTCGTCCCGTATCTGGTCCTATTTATGATGAAATGAGTGAAAATCGAAAAATGTTTAAGACTAAACTCAAATTTTGTCAGAAAAATGCTGAGCAAATCAAAATGGATAGATTAGCTCAAAAAAGAGCAAATAGGGACTTTAAAAATTTCTGGAAGTCGACCAATAAGTTGGAATCTAAGACTAGTCTTGCTACGAGCGTGGAAGGAATTAGTGAACCCAGTGACATCGCTAATATGTTCATGGAACATTTTAAAATACAATCTCCACTTGGGCCCTCAACACAGGTGGGTAGTGCTGGGACCGTTTGTGGGGGAGAGGAACCTCTTGTGCATATTTCTGCTAAACAGATACGCAGTATCATAATAGGTATGAGCCGAGGTAAATCTCCAGGACATGACGGGCTCAGCATTGAGCACCTGAAGCACGCTGGATTTCACCTGCCACGAGTCCTGTCCATGTTCTACACAATGTGTATTAGCCACTCTTCATCATCATCATTACAGCCCTTCACAAGTCCACTGCTGAACATAGGCCTCCCCCAAAGAATGCCACAAAGCACGGTCCTGAGCCACCTGCATCCATCGACTTCCTGCATATCTTACCAGGTCGTCACTCCATCTAGTGGGGGGACGCCCTACACTTCGCCTCCCGGTACGAGGCTGCCACTCGAGAACCTTTCTTCCCCATCGGTTGTCGGTTCTTCGAGCTAAATGGCCGGCCCATTGCCACTTCAACTTACTAATCCGTTGGGCTATGTCGGTCACTCTAGTTCTACTGCGGATATCCTCATTTCTGAGTTTATCACGCAGAGAAACTCCGAGCATAGCCCTCTCCATAGCTCGCTGAGCGACCTTGAGCTTCCTCATCCGGCCAGCAGTGAAGGACCACGTCTCAGTTCCGTATGTCATCACTGGCAACACGCACTGGGTGTACAGTCTCGTTTTCAAGTTTTGAGGTATACCTGACGAGAAGATGTGCCGTAATTTCCCGAACGCTGCCCAACCGAGTTGAATCCGTCGATTGACCTCTCGGTCGAAGTTGGACTTACCTAGTCGGACTATTTGTCCCAGGTAAACATACTCGTCAACAACTTCGAGCTTAGTGTTCCCAACAAGTACCGGTATAGGTGTGACATGGACATTAAACATGATCTTTGTTTTGTCCATGTTCATCTTAAGACCTATCCGTTGGGAAACACTATCGAGGTCATTGAGCATAGTGCTTAGGTCCTCCAGCGATTCTGCCATAAGGACTATATCGTCGGCAAATCGAAGGTGAGTGATGTACTCGCCATTGATGTTGATACCGTATCCTTTCCAGTCCAGAAGCTTGAAAACATCTTCCAATGCAGCGGTAAAGAGTTTCGGGGATATGACGTCACCCTGTCTTACACCTCTCTGCAATTGGATAGGTTTCGTACTCTGGTTCTGTACTCGAAAACCATCGTAGCCCTACTGTACAAGCACTTCAACACTTCGATATACCGACAGTCAACTTGGCATCGCTGAAGGGACTGCAGCACCGCCCAAATTTCGACGGAATCAAAGGCTTTCTCATAGTCCACATACGCCAGACATAGTGGCAAATTGTACTCCTCGGACTTCTGCACAATTTGCCGAAGGGTATGTATGTGGTCTATGGTGCTAAAGCCTTTTCGGAAACCGGCTTGTTCGGGAGGCTGGAAGTCGTCAAGTCTGCGCGCGAGACGATTCGTAATGACTCTCGAAAACAGCACGTAGACGCGGCTCAGAGGGGAAATCGGTCTGTAGTTCTTCAAGAGAGCGTTGTCGCCTTTCTTGAAGAACAAGACCACCGCACTTCTGCTCCACGCCTCCGGTGTAATGCCACCATGGAGAACGGAATTAAAGAGCTTCTGAAGGACTTCAAGTACCGGTCTTCCACCCGCTTTCAGAAGCTCCGCTGTAATTCCATCCTCGCCTGGGGCCTTGCCGTTTTAAGGTGCTGGAGAGCCATTCTAATCTCGCTCAGACTGACGTCCGGGATATCATCGGAATAATGTCGGATAAGACTCGCTCTTGGATCGTTACTCACACTTGCGTGCGGCTCCAACGATGACGTGTACAGCTGCCCATAGAACCTCTCAATCTCACTCAAAATCTCAGGTGCCCCGGAGACGATGCTGCCACATTCTGTCTTCAGCTTTGACAGTTGGCGCTTTCTGGCAGACAGATCTCTGGCAAAGACTTTGGAGCCTCGGTTCCGCTCGATCGCTTCTTCAATACGAGCTGTATTGAATTTGCGTAAGTCCCGCCGCATGCATTTGGAGATCTGTCTGTTCAGTTGCCTGTATGCTGTTAAATCTGTTGAAGAATGTAGCTTCATCTCCCGTCTAACAGCCATGAGATTAAGAGTGTGATCGGAGAGTTTTTGTGTTCTTCTGCGGCGGGTCTTGCAGAACTTAGCTCCGACCGCATGGACAGTTTCCACGAGCTTGTCATTCAAATCGTCCATTTCATTGCAGTCTTCTAGGCACTGAAAACGGTTTTGTAACTCGAGCTGAAAGGTTTCGGGACTTTGGAAAAGAGCACGAGGGGGACGGAGCGTTGACTTCATTAGACGAGACCTCTCCAACTTAACATTTAGGTTCAGTGTGCCTCTAACCATTCGGTGATCGCTGCCGGTTTTCACCCTCGCGATCACTGAGACATCACTGAACAGTTGTCGTCTGGTCGTCATAATGAAGTCAATCTCATTTTTTGTCGAACCGTCGGGGCTCGACCAGGTCCACTTCCTGTGGGGCCGCTTCTGGAAGAAAGAGTTCATCATAAAGAGTCCCTCTTTCTCCATGAAGTCGGCCAGCTGCTGGCCCCTTGGGTTCCGTTGCCCTATTCCAAATTTCCCTACTTTCAGCTCATCGTTCTCTCTTGTGCCTAGTTTTGCATTGAAGTCTCCCATTAACACCGTATATTGGGTTTTGGAGGAATGCATGGCTCTAGAGATATCCTCATACATTTCCTCCACCTCCTGATCGGGGTGTGCCGAGGTTGGTGCGTAAACCTGTATGACCTTCAGCGAATACCGTTTGGTGATTCTGAGTATAAGGTACGCAACCCTCGTCGACACACTCTCAATCTTTACAACGTTGTTAACGAGAGACTTGTGGACGATAAATCCGACACCTCCTTGGGACAGATGGTCGCCCTCCCGGTAATAGAGCAAGTTGCCGGATTCGAGGATTACCGTGTCCTCCCCCTCTCTTCGGACTTCGGATAATCCTATAATATGCCAGCGTAACTTGTCTATCTCTTCTTCCAGCTCCACAATCTTCTCGTCAGTCCTAAGGGTGCGTGCGTTGTATGTTGCCAGGTCGAGTCGTCGTAGGTGGCAACCGAACCTCCACCGGAGATTCTTTGCACCCCCTGCCCCGCCGTTACCATGGTCGCCACCGTAGCCAGGAATAGCGGGGCCGCCGGGGACTGGGGGCCGTTTATTATTGTCATTGCTCACGGGGGGTATATTGCCATAGTTGCCACGCTTGGCGAGCGGGTTGGCAACCGCAGTTTTTTATTGTTATTTTGGCTATTATCAGGAAGATGCTGCTGCCCATCTCCTGCCTGTTTCCCTTTGTCGCCTTTTACGACACCCACGGGAAGATATGGGGTAGTGGATATTCTTAACCGCCACTACACGGCAACTAGCCACTCTTACTTACCTACAAATCTGATGAAGACAATAGTAGTTCCCATTGTAAAGAACAAGACGGGAGACATCTCTGACAAGGGTAACTATCGTCCTATTTCCTTAGCCACTATCATAGCAAAGGTGTTGGACGGTGTGCTTGATACCATCTTAAGTGACCACATTCAACTTCATGACACACAGTTCGGGTTTAGACCAGGACTATCAACCGAAAGTGCTATTTTATGTCTAAAGCACACCGTTCGATATTACGTAGATCGGGGTACCCCGGTATATGCCTGTTTCCTTTCCCCGGTATATGATCTTTCCAGGGCATTTGATCTCGTCTCATATGACGTGCTCTGGAGGAAGGTGGAGGACAGAGGTGTACCGTCAGAGATATGTGGTCTGCTCAAATATTGGTACAGTAAACAAATAAATCATGTGAAATGGGACGATACTCTTAGTGAACCGTACAGGTTGGAATGCGGGGTAAGGCAGGGGGTTCTAGCGTCTCCCAGATTATTCAAGCTATATATAGATGCTCTCATAGGCGAGCTCAGTAGCAAGCGTGTCGGATGCAGTGTTGGTGGAGTTAGTATTAACAACATCAGTTATGCAGATGACATGGTGCTGATGGGACCGTCGGTGAGGGCAGTAAGAGAGTTACTGAAGGTGTGTGTAGCCTATGCTGAGTCTCATGGGTTGGCATATAATGTCAAAAAATGTGAATACATTGTCTTTGGCGTCAGGGGCAAGCCTAGGACTGATGAACCTGACCTGTTCTTGAATGGGTCAAAACTTAAAAAAGTGACGTCCTTTAAATATCTTGGTCATTTTCTTGCAGATGACCTGAAAGATAATGTAGACATTGAGAGGGAACGCAGGGCTCTAGCGGTCAGGAGTAACATGCTGGCCCGTAGATTTGCTCGATGTACGGACTTAGTAAAAATTACCCTATTTAAGGCATACTGCCAGAGTCTGTATACGAGCAGTCTATGGATCAATTACACTAAAAGGTCACTGGATGCCCTGCGTGTTCAATATAATAATGCTTTCAGAATGTTGTTGGGACTGCCTCGATACTGTAGTGCGTCGGAGATGTTTGCGCAAGCTCGCACGGACGGTTTTCATGCGATAATACGTAAGAAAACAGCTTCGCTGCTTAGAAGGGTGAGAGATAGTCACAACAGCATTTTGAAAACAGTAGCGGAGAACTTTAATTCTCCGATTTTGAAAAAGTTTGTACACACATTAATGTTTACTAACACTAGTTTATAAGTCAATTGTTACTAACACTACTATGGATTAATTTTGGTCCGAAATAAAGATTATTATTATTATTATTATTATAAAATAAAGGCATTTTTACGCGTTTGTCTATATAATGTATCCTTAAAACTTTAATATTAATGAATAGAAAAATTTATTGGTGCATTTTAATACAATTTTATGATTAAAGAAAGTTTTTTTCTTCAATAGAAATATATTATTTCGATTGATGGGAAACTTAAAAGATAAATCGTATCGTATTTATACTTTACTACTTTTTGCTCTTTCAAATATTATGTTAGGATGGTAATCTTTGAAATAAATTATTATTGGTATTATGTAGTCAGGTCCTAAAATGATAATAACACCACACTTGCGAATCGTATCCGTGTGCTGCCGGGGCAAGTGGCTAGTATATTAATAACGAATATATTCGTCGCCACTCGGGGTGTAAGGGGGAATATGCTATATCAGTAACGGTATGGGATAACATTGGTGCAGGAGTACGTACATAACTACTACATGGCACATAACTGATATTTTTGATAATGCTCAGCCTCATGTGGCAGTGGTTTTGATATATGTTTCATTACTAGGGAGATCAAAATCGACATTTTAAGTGTTGCATGTTAAGAAAAGAAAAACTGTTTGAAATCTATTTAACTTTCACCGTGATAAAATAAGTTTTAATTTTTCTTTATTTTTTAATTAGTAGCGAGCAAACGAGTATGCAGCTCAACCGATGGTAAGTGCTGCTCATGTACAACTACAACACCAGAGGAATTGCAGGTGCGTTTGGTAATACCTAGTATTAATACAGTAGGTATATTATTGTTTTAACATACTTAAGTGCTGTTTTGTTCAACATTATAATTTTAACTGGGCAACACATATTAAATGCTTATTAAATACACATCACACTATTTTAACCTAACTTGTCTAATTTTTGTTGTATTCCTCTATTATGTTTATTTTGTAAGGCCAAGTTTTCACATAGTTACTAAAAATAATACAACACAGCTAATTCATATAAGGTCTATAAAAATTGTAGCAAAAAATCCGTCCACAGCCACAGGCATTTTTTCAATTTTTTTAAATTACATTTCATCAACATAAGTTATGTATCGCTATCCTGTAGGGAAATCCTGTTATTAAAACGGCCAGATAGATGAACGTACGTTTTCCCATGCATTATATAAGGATTTCATTGGAATTTTTTTATTAAATACTAAAGGGAATAAATATTATGAGTATCGAGTGATTATAGAGAATAGGAATGCATGTTAACCTATGATATTTTATCATTTAAATTCGAAATGTGGACGTCGCTTCCTGTTATACAATATAACGATATTTCGAATTTCGAATTTTTGATAAACTTCAAGTAAAAAATTTAAAAAAATAACCTTTAGAAAATTTTTTTTCAATACCCCGTTAGTAAAGCGCCAGTTTCATAGACCGTTAATCCGATTATCTGCGATGGACTACAGGGACAACATTTCAGATGGTTATTATTTTCTCTTTTTTGTCGGACGAATATTTTTCTTTACATTTCTTCATGACTAGTTCTTTCTTACTTTTTTTGTTAATTATCTAATCTCCTTCTAAATTGAAGTTCTAAGCTTAGTGTCTTCGGTGACAATGATGCTACAGACGCCGCCGTGTAAAAATATTATACACTAGAGTATAGGTTAACGTATTTTAACGTGACGAATAGTAATTTCGCTATTCTTTATGAGTAGTCTATTATTTTTCAATCAATTGAATAATGTATCATAAATAGATATTACCATATAATATAGCTTCATGTAACAAATTATATTTTTGAACATAGATGCTACAAACGCCATATTCGAACGCAGCGACACTTGCGGCTTGCGGAGCGTCATTAACGTGCCGCTATTGACGTACAATAATAGAGGCGGAGTCGCGTTTACCGTTGTACAAGCGACCTTGATTAGCTGGTTTGAGGTGATAATGTGAATATTTTATTAAAAAAATGGAGACCTCATTTTGTACGATTTAAGCACAGAAAATTACGTAAGTCTGATGTCGGCTCTATATGACCTATGTGATCGTTTGAGTGATTCGCACGCATTAGATATTTTTTTAAGATCGTAGAGATGTCAGAAACAACGACAGTTATCAATCACCTTGATCTGACCAACGATTTATGTCAAATAATTCTTACATTCGACTGAATTCCATCCCTAGATCCACGACGTTAGTAACTACAAAATGGCTGGTTTAATACCGACAAATATATAACTCAAAAACTATTGGCTTGACCTTTGAAATTCATATTGCACCACACGAGAACTACTAGCTTTCAAATAAAAAAAGAATTATCGCAATCGGTCCACCCAGTAAAAAGTTATGAGGTAACACACATAAAAAAAAAACAAAAAAAAATACAGTCGAATTGAGTACCGTCTCCTTTTTTCGTGATCAAGTTGATGTTGAAGTTTTGGAACTGGATTATATTGTTAAATAGCGAATTCAACTCAAATCTTGCAATGTTTTCTGTTTTTTTTTTATGAATTTTGGAAGGAACTTCAGTGCCGACAGACTGTTGCTGGTGCGATTTTGGGTATTATCTGCGCATGTGAACTTTTAGTGGAAACTACGAAATAAAAGCCTCAAAGTTGATATAAACCTCAAGTTATTTTGTTCGCTTAGACGTCGTCGCTGTCGCTATTGACTGTCTATCTCCCAAAACTTTCGCAATGTGACATATCAGCATACTGTAAAGAAATTATCCAAATAATTTAGAGGGTAATATTTTTACTTGACTCTGGCAAAAGTATAACCTTAGGAGTCAACATTTCAACTTTATACTAAGGTATGGAACTGGATCTGTAAAATTATTCACGGGCTTTTGCAAACTTTGTGAACATTGTTAAAACTGGAGAGATGTATTACATTTACATGCAACAAAATTTGCAAATTGACTTTGTATATGTATTGGATAACATTAACTGTGCGCTTTTGAGTACGGCTTTTTTGCAGTGCGTACTTAAGTATATTTGCCGTATTTTGTGTCGTGCAGTGGCGGTGTAAGAGAATAAACTGTTCCCTATCATCCAGTTGGTGTCGTAAAAAGCGACAAAAAGAAACTGAGACAGGAGATAGGCCGTAGAATATTTTTGATAACAGCTCAAAATAATAAAATAAACAGTGGTTGCCAACTTTCCTGGTAAGCAACAATGGCAACTATGGCAAATATCCGTCCTATGAGGCGATCCATGGGGAAGCCTATTTTAAGTAGACTTTTAATAATAATAATAATAATAAATCTTTATTTCGGATAGCAAATGAGATCAATATCAGAGATATTAGAAAAATCACTAAATAATAATAATAATACACACACACACACACACACACACTAACACACACACACACACACACACACACACACACACACACACACACATATTCACACGCGCGCGCGCGCGCGCTCGCACGCTTGCAGTCATACATACATATATACACACACACAAGTGTGTATGTCTATCTTTTGATAGATTGTAGTGATGATCATGTAGTTTACGTCGGCGCCCACTTGACTCTCTCGGTCTTATTACAAAACATGGTTTATTGATAGACTCAGGTTTAAGTTATCAAAAACCCTTTTTTAATCTTCTTAAGCCAATCTTTAAACCCGTGACTTTTTACATGAGAAACCATAAGCCACGTTTTACTAATACCTAAGTATATAACATTATTATTGAAATGTATATTTTGTGCCATTTTTAAGCACCATAGCGTTGCAATTTGAGCCTTTACATAATTTGCTATATTTTAGTTTTTCAGTATTGATTTCATTTATTGTACATGTATGATTTTCCTTTGCATTTCGAGATTTGTCGTGATTTTTTTTTACATTTATCGTATACTATTTTATCCGTAACAAATCAATTTTGTAAGTATCACAGAGAATAATGACGTATTTTTAGAATAGGCAAGCTGCTATTACTATTAGAATATAGAGAAATTTAAAAATACAAATTGTAATATGATTTTTTTTTATATTCTACTAAGCCAGCGCTTATCTACGATCCCACCTGATGGTAAGTGGTGATGTAGCCTAAGATGGTGAAGCGCACTGACTTAACAAAAGCCTATTCACTCTTGTCTTGAAGATACCCACACTGTAATCGGATGGAAAGACAGATGCTGGCAACTTATTCCACTCCTTTGCTGTACGCATGATAAACGACGTGGCCGTTTGGTTCGAATGCGTGGTAAGTCAACAACGAAAGGGTGGAGACTGGCCGAACGTCTGGTTGTCCGATGGTGGAAGGGAGAGGGTGGAATTAAATTATGTAATTCCTGCGCACACTCTCCGAAATGCATCCTGTAGAAAACCGAAATGCTGGCTACTTTACGTCGGTGTTCGAGGCTGGTAAGATTGGTTTTAACCAAATTCGGGTCACCAATAAGCCTCTTAGCACGCCTTTCCATTGCGTCCAAAGCTGCTAGGTGGCATTTTGCAGCACCAGCCCATATATGGCAGCAATACTCCATGCACGACCGGACTTGCGCCTTATATAAAGTAAGCAGCTGTCCCGGCGTGAAGTATCGCCGCACCTTTGCAAGGACTCCCAGCTTCCTTGCAGCTGCTTTGGCCTTGGACTCAATGAACCGCCTGAAGTTCAACTTTGAGGATATTTCAAACCCTAACAACTGAAGGCGGTCGGTATATTTCAGTGATACATTTCGGAAAGAAGGAGCCAAGGTAAGCTGGCTCCTTTTTGCAGTGAAGAGACACGCTTGTATTTTGGAGGCGTTGAACTTCACAAGATTGGCATCGCCCCAATCGGAGACTGCCTGTAATGTGAGATTCACACGCTCTACCATAGCTTCTCTTTCGGACTGGGTTTGATCCCAACTGGCCCGAGGACTTGGTTGGTATCTCTCAACAACTGTGCTATCGTCGATATACCCATAGATACCGGGCATAAGCAGATCATTAATATGCAGCAGGAAGAGAGTTGCGGAGAGAA